AAAAAAAAAAAAAAAAAATTTCCTGACGGCAGAGACCATAGCTGTCTGAGTCACCCTTATACCCCCTATGTCTGTCACTTAGGCAATACTTGTTGAACGAGTATCCATTTCTCACCTTATAGCAGAAGAAGATCTTTACGATCCAAGGCCGTTACCCAGTGATCCGGTGTCTCTTGCGCCGGAGGGGCTGGGTGGAGAAGAAGATGGTCCATCGCTCAGGCACCACTCTGTCGCCACCCCAGAAGGATCTGGATAGCTCAGTGATGGGTGATAGTGACACCACTGAGGATGGTGAGCAGTTCCCTGCCTGGCGAGAAGCTGCCCTCCTGAGTCCCTTTCCTTTAGTTCCTACTGTCCTAGGGTTGAGGGACCTATGGGGCAGGGACGGGGCCTCATCGGGCCTGGGCTCTGCAACCACAGAGGATGAAGATGAGGATGAGGAGTTCCGGCCACCACAGCTGTTCAACTTCGATGATTTTCTGGAATTTGATGACCTAGATGGGACACATGCTCTGATGGTGAGGGCCCAGGGGCTGGCAGGGGCTGCCTAGTCAGAAGGAGGGCACTGGTGTCCATCCAGCTGGGTGACCTCAGACAAGTCCTTTCCTTCTCTTGGCCTCAGTTTCCCTATCTATAGTAAACACCGATTGCTTCTCTGAAGGCTGGCTAGGCCCACAGAACTCTGCTAGGTTGTATCAGAAGCTGGCACAGCCTCCATGCATGGCACTTCCCCTTTCCAAATAGCCCCATAGTTCGTCTCCTTCCTCTGCCCGTGGCAAGTGAAGGATGGAAGGAAGGGCTTAAACAGCTCTGAAAGAAGCTGGTATGATGGCGTGGAGTACATGCATGCTGAAGTGAGGACACAGGTTCAAACCTTGGCACCACCGCTTACTAAGTTAAACTACGTGAGATTGCCATTTCTGTATGTCAGGAAAGGTTGAATGCTGGCAGTTTCATATGGCTCAACCTTGTGAACCCTTGGGCAAGTCACTTAGCCTCCCTGTGCCTCGGTTCCCTCGACTGTGAGATGGAGCTAACAGTGGCCCCTGCTTCATGAGTTGTGGTGAGAATTAAATGAGTTGACATGAAAAGCCCTTAGAACAGGGCCCAGCATGTGGTAATGTTGGTTATTAATAATCCTACCACCCAGAGTTGTAGGAAGGATAGAGGGAGGTGGGGTCCATGAGAGAGCATTTGTCCCATGCTGTGTGCCCATCAACCTGGAGTCACCGTCCTGCCACTGGGCAAGTCACTGACGGGCTTGGGCCAGAACAACATGTGGTATTCAGTTGTGCAGCTTCATCACTGCTTAGGGACACCCAGCCAAAGGGATACTGAAAGGCTGGCCTGTTCTCTGCTCACCAAGCATGTGCCCTGGAGGAAGAGATGTCTTTTCTTGCCTTACACAAAGATGGCATGTGGGCCAGAGGCCACCTTGGAAGCATCCTCTTCTTCCTGTTCACCTACCTTGCTCAGCAGGGTGGGGAGAAGCAGCCTCAGGCCATGCTGCCCACACTGGCCTCTCTGTGTCTGTCTCCTCCCCGCTCCCCAGTCCCGCATGGTTCGGAATGAGACCCCCTACTTCATTTGGACCACTCGGCGGGATGTGCTGGACTGTCGCTTCCTCTCCAAGGATCAGATGATAAACCACTATGCCCGAGCTGGCTCCTTTACCACAAAGGTGGGCTCCCCAGAGGAGTGGGCAGGACAGCTTCCATACCCCTAGCCCTTGGGCTGGCAACCCTGCTCCCTGATACCCTTGTCAGGAAGAAGGAATTCTCAGGAGAGGGGGAGGTATACAATTCGGTGAGACTTGGAGTCTGACAGGCCTGGGTTCCAATCCAGCCCCTGCATGATATCTGGCACATGTAAACGTAATGACTGAAACGGGCCCCAGGATTCAAATGGGATCTGGAGCTGGAACAAACACCAAAAATCCAATGACAGTGAGCAAGAGGGCCCTTAGCTCCTAAGCAGAGGATATCTGGCTGATGGATCCATTCTGTCTTCCCTGGGTTTCTCAGCAAGTGACTTCACCTCTCTGAATCTCATTCCTCATTTAAGTGAGAATACTAGTTAAGGCCTATGTTCTGGGTTTGTGGCAAGGATGAAGGGCTATATAATTGTGACCTGCCATTAGATTGTTAGTGAGGGCCGGGAAGGCTTCCTGGAGGAGGCAGCTTTTAAGAATGTGAAAGGGTGGACAGGAAGGATGTGGGGCATTCTCGGCAGAGCGGGCTGCCCAGGCAAACACATGGAGATAGATGTGAGCAAGTCAGGCCTAGCAAGTGGGGCAGGGGCAAGGTCTTCCCGAGCTGTCTGGATGTGTGCTGAGTGTGAGGCAGTCCCTTGGAGCTCTCTGGGCAAGTCCCACCCTGCCCCCTCAGCAGCTAACTCCATAGGTGGGCCTATGTCTCAATCTCCGGAATTTGCCATGGTTTGATGAGGCGGATGCCGACTCCTTCTTCCCACGCTGCTACCGCCTGGGGGCTGAGGATGACAAAAAAGCCTTCATAGGTAAGGAGACCCCCAGCCCCATGCCTGGGCCCCTCAGGCTGAAGGACCAGGGCCAAAGCGCTGGCTCATACCAGAGAGGATCTGGTCTCTTCTCACGCCCTCCTCTACCCCAGCAGATCTTCTCTCTCCCCGATCCTTATCTTTCCCTAACGGTGCCCTCCCTTAATGAGCCTCCTAGCTTGGTTAGCCCTGACGTTCAGAAAAGCTTAGGTAGCTTAGCTTATATTCTAGAGCAGGTTCTAACGTTGGTCAGTTAGTTGAGTTTGGAATCCAGAATAGGTTCCAGGCCTATGTCAAGTTCCACTGGTTGGATTGGGTTCGACAAAAGGCTGTAGGCTTTGGGTTTCTAAGGCAGAATAAGCTCCAACTCCAGAATATGTTTTAAATTCATAATTTGGATGCAGATTAAATGCTAGGTTTAGACTGCATTACAAATCTGAAATAGGATTTGGACCAAAGTCTGGTTCTCAGGCTAGAATAAGTATAAAAAATGGATTGAGAACAAGAAATAAATCAGGTAACAGGTCCATGCAAGATTCTAAAGGCAGAATGTGAGCCAAGTCAGGTCAGATTTGGGGTCTGGCTCTACAACTGAAACAAGAGCAAGTTCTAACCCAGTTCTAGAGTCAGAAAAGGTAAAGTCAGGTTCCGGATCCAAAATGGGGCAAGTCATGATCAGGTTCCGGAACCAGAACAGGCCTTGAGCCTAGGGGCTGAGCAGGGTATCCCCTGCCCTGGGAGCAGAGGACTTCTGGCTGACAGCTGCCCGCAACGTTCTCAAGCTGGTGGTGAAGTCTGAGTGGAAGTCGTACTCTATCCAGGCAGAAGAGGAAGAGGCCTTGGGTAAGTACTATGGTTACCTCCACTCCCCCACCCATTTATCCTCCCACCCATCCACCCTTCCACCCATCTAGTCATCCCCCGCCCACCTGTTCATCCTCACATCTATGTATTATCCACATCCATCTGCCTATCCACCACCCTTCCCACCAACCTGTCCATCCATCCACCCACCCTTCTCTCCATCCATCCATCTACTCATCCATTCATTCACCGATCTACCTACATGTCCACCAATGGGAGATCTCGTTCATCTACCTGACATCAGCTCTCCACCTTCCTACCTATCCTTCCACAGGTCCTCTACCCATCTGTCCACCTACCTTTCCATCCTCCTATCTACTACTTATCTATCCTCCAATCCATCCACTCATCCATTCTTCTGACCCAACCACCTACACACCTGTCTTCCTATCCATCTGTTAATTGTTCCACTGCCTCCTTCAGCCCTCCCATGGGCCTGGCATGTGGCCGGGCTCCATAGAGAGGACAGATTAAGAAGACACGTCCATCTCTGCCTGTGACCATCAGGTCTCTGAGGAGGGGGAAGCAGTGAAACCAGGCAGTTTACACGTGGCCTGAGGACCCCTTGTGCCTGAAGGAGCAGCTGGGAGTGGAGGGGGATGCAAAGGGACCCTCACTATCACTGCTTGGCAGCCCAACCCACTGCTTGCCCTTTTTCTTGCTAGATTTAGCTCCTACCTCCACACCCCTAGTCCTATAATCCAAGGACCCATTAGCAAGGGATTCAGGGAAGGGGCAGCTCCACAGGATGAGGAAAATCCCTGCCTCTTCCAGAGGCAGACCTCCCCATCGCTGACTCCTGGTTGTGTCACATACAAGGAAAACTGTTCTGTGCCAGGATCAGGGGCACAGGGGCCTTGCGTGTGGCCAGAGACCCCATGCTTACGGTCTCGTAGCATAGGTCAGGCTGCAGGGGTGTGAGGGCGTCCATTGTACATCAGGATTTTCAGAGCATTACAGATGTTCGGGGTGAGTCAAGGCGCTGGCTGTGCATCAGGTCCTCCAAGGGGTCAGTTCCTGGTTTATCACTTTCAGGTGTGTGTCAGGGCCTTGCAGTGGTAGTGTTGCACATGTAGGTTAGCGCTTCAGTGGGCTAAGGCTTGTAGATATATGTCAGGATTCTGGGAGGGGGTCTGGATTTCTGGTGTGTGGACTTAAGAAGCCATGTCAGATTCGGGGGAGGGGATTCATGTATAACTGGGTTCCCCTAGGCCAAGGCTCCCAGGTGCATCTTAGGCAGGGCCTCAGGTGAGTTAGAGGTCCCAGGAGCAGAGAGGCCGCAGGTGTGTGCTGGGTATATAGGTGCTGTGAGGCCTTGGGGACATTTAGGGTGGAGCCTCAAGTGAGTGACAGGTCCTAGGACAGTGGGAGCCAGGGGCCCGTGCTAGAGTTATAGGTGTATTTAGAGCGAAGCCTCAGGTAAATGACAAATCCCAGGGCAGTAGGGGATCTATCTAGGTTCGTGCTGGGCCTCGGGTGTCTTTAGGGTAAGTGACAAGGCCTCAGGACAGTGAGGGCTGTGGCCTGTGTCAGGTGACCTGCCTGGATGTGGGATAGTTACAGGCCCCTCCCTATCTCTACAGGAGACAAGCAGCCCATGAAACAGGGAAAAAAGCTAGTGTCAGTGTCCCCAGAATTTGTGGATGAAGCTCTGTGTGCATGCGAGGAGCACCTTAGCAACCTGGCCCACATGGACATCGACAAAGACCTGGAGGCCCCGCTGTACCTTAGCCCTGAGGGCTGGTCCCTCTTCCTGCAGCGCTACTACCAAGTGGTCCAGTGAGTACCTCTGTAGCCAGGGCCACGGGCCGTGGGCCATGGGCAGGTGCTTAGGGAAAGACCCTCTCTGTCTACTGCAGCCCCCACCTCTTCCCCAAGCCTCCCTCTTTTGTTCGCTCTGCTCTTCTGCTCAGGAACCCTCATGGACTCCCATGCCTCCGTGATAGGGCCCAAACCACTCCTCCTGGGTCTTGGCACAGCACCGTCACTAACCTCATGACCTGTGCCGTGAGGCAGACCTGGGTTAAAGTTCTGGCTTTGCAACTTGCAAGCTTTGTAACCGTGGGCACATCACTAATCTTTCTGAACTTTACTTTTCTCGAACACAAAATAGATTTAAAAATAATGTCTTCTTCGAAGATGGGATTGGACAGGATAGTCTGTATTGTGTGCTCAGCACAGGCTCATAGTGTGCACTCGCGAAATAGGAATCCAAGTCGTTTAGATTTTCTCCTGGGGATCATTGCCCAAAGTGCATTGAGGGAAGTAAGTAGATTTTATGAAAAAAGGGCTTTTATCGTCAATGAAATTTAGAAAACATTAGCTTAAGCAAGGTTAATTAAACAGGCTTTCTGATGCAGGACCTTCCAGAACCTATTGGTGGTATAAACCTCTCAGAGAAGGAGGGAGGGAGTGGGGTCGGGGGGAGAAGTATATCCTGGACTCAGGTGAGCTCAGTGTCCTCCTTCCAAGTCCCAGCATCCTGAGGGGTAGTGTTTTCAGAACACACTTCGGAAAAAGATTCTTGGGCAGGAGAAGGGAGGATCAAGATGACACTGGTACTGCTTTAGGGAGATTCCACTCAGCAGAAGCGTACAGGAAGGACTTGGGGGAGAAGGGCCCTGAAGGCAGGAGACCACTCAGCAAGCATTTCTTGAGCATCTCCTACGTGCCAAACATTGCTGGGTTCCAGAAATGGAGCACAGCCCCTTCTCTCAAGGGGGACACAGCTCAAGGTAGGAGGCTTGCGACAGGCCAGGTGGGAGTGCTAAGGGTCTCAGCTGGGGTGACGTTAATAGAAAGGAATGGACAGATTTAATTACTCCATAGAGGAGGCTGAAGAACTAATGAATGAACTTTGAATGAAGGACATAGCTGCAAACCCACATCATTAGCAAAGAATTCATTTGTATCTTTTCTAAATGTCAGAAAATGACAGCTAGGTGACCCTGTACTTGCCCCTTAGCTATGAGAAAATTTAAAGTTACCCTTCTTAGATTAAGAATTATCAAGGCTGAGTTAGAACACTGGGTGTGAAGCACGTGAGTCCTTTTCATTTCCGGTGTGGGGAAAGTTCTAGAGGGCTGCAGGAATATCCCCAAAGTCAGGATTACGTAAAATATTGCATCATATAACAGACAGTGTTGAGTGGTTCACTACAGATAACTAGCATGCATGCATTCATTCAACATGTATTGCTATGTTTCTCAGCTTTTATTTATTTATTTTTTCTTTTTTTTTTGAGACAGAGCCTCACTCTCTTGCCTGGGCTAGAGTGCCGTGGCATCATCCTAGCTCACAGCAACCTCAAACTCCTGGGCTCAAGCGATCCTCCTGCCTCAGCCTCCCAGGTAGCTGAGACTACAGGCATGCGCGACCGTGCCCGGCTAATTTTTTCTATTTTTAGTTGTTTGGCCAATTTCTTTCTATTTTCAGTAGAGACGAGGTCTCGCTCTTGCTCAGGCTGGTTTCGAACTCGTGAGCTCAAACAGTCCGCCCGCCTCGGCCTCCCAGAGTGCTAGGATTACAGGCGTGAGCCACGGCGCCCGGCCCTGTTTCTCAGCTTTTAAAAAACAAATCCATGCCTCACCAGCCTGGCTTTTATCAAGGTTGACTTTCCACAAAAATACTGTTTTTTTTCTTTTTTGCTAAATATAAAATCATATTGAACATACTTTTTCAAATTACACGTGCTCCTGCCATGTGACATTTTCCTGGGCCACATCACAGATTTACTGAGCAGATACTTTATTCCATGGACCATGGAAAAGTTCATCAGGACTTAGGTGTGAATGTTCCTGGGAGACCTTGCCAAGTCCCCTCCACCTGGCTCTCCCTATTCCTGGCACTGCCCCAATGGCCGCTGCCTCCTCATTAAAAAAGAGAGAACCTCTCTCCATGGCCAGAGACATTCAAGAGGCTAAGATGTTGGAGAGAGGTTAGCATCTAGTGGAGGCTTCCTTCCTATTCAGTCAGAAGAAAAGAAATGGGAGAGTTTGGATAAGGCAGCCATCTGCAGTGTTTTGTGACTTGGGTTAGTTCAGGACATTTTCTGCCTTGTAGAGAACAGGTCCTTCTTTGTCCATGAACCATGAACCCATCTGTGCAGCCCAGTTGCCGAGGCAAGCTCCTGCCAAAGCATTTACTTAGCCAACCATTTATTCATTGAACAAACTTTTAGGGACACCTGCTAAGTGCCAGGTGTAGTGCTTAGGGATGGGAATACAACAGAAAACAACAACTACAAAAAATGTTTGTGTTCTTATGGAGCTTACGTTCTAGTGGGGGAGACAGACAATAGACAAACAATGTATGTGTCAGGCGGGGGCAAATGGTGGGGAGAGAACAAAGCCAGGAGAGGTGTGATACAGATGGGCCTGAAAGCAGTTAGACGAGAAAGGGACCCATCTGTCAGCCAGTGTTAGGCACAGATTAGGAGGGGAATAAACTCCAAGAAACACATGGGTGCAGGAGTCAGGCAGGACAGAGTCTGAATCCTGGCTGAGCCACTCAATGTAATGTGTGGCCTTAGGTTAAGGCCCTTCACTCTCCAGGCTTCAGTTTACATTTCTCTAAAATGGGACCAGTAATACGTCCCTGGCAAAGCCTTTGAAAGGATTAGTGATACTGTATGGAAAGCCCTGGCCCAGTGCCTGGCACACGGTGGTGCCCCATCGTTAGGAGCCAGAATGAGTGAATTCTGCCGAAGGCAGTGTTAATGTACTGGAAGGGAGGTAGCAGAGGTGGAGTGTTGGAGTTTGGGGGGCATGTGGGAAATGGAATTTTCTCGACTTTCCTCATTCCTGTAGTCTGGGCAGGTTAGGATTTGGGAGGTGGCTTGAGGGTGGGGACAGAGGTTTGGGAGGAACATACCTGGATCTGTAGGGGGAGGGCGTAACCAAAGCTCGTTGGACCATGGCCTTGGGCAGCCTGTGTCTCCCCTGGCCCTGTCCACCCACTGGACCCCAATCCCAGCCCTCCCAAGTGCCATCATCTCCATACAGCGAGGGGGCAGAACTCAGGCATCTAGACACTCAGGTCCGGCGCTGTGAGGACATTCTGCAGCAGCTGCAGGCCGTGGTACCCCAGATCGACATGGAAGGGGATCGCAACGTCTGGATTGTGAAGCCAGGAGCCAAGTCCCGCGGACGAGGTAGGGGTCAGTCCCTGCTTCCTGCACCAGCACCCCATGACCTGTTTCCCCAACTAGGGGCCAGAGAGGTTAATAGTGCAGGCTCTATTGGAACCAGACTGCATGGGTTTGTGAATCCTAGCTCTGCTACTAGTATTCTGTGTGACTTTGAGCAAGTTATTAATATATCACCTCTCTGAACCTCAGTTTCCTCATCTGTGAAATGGGGATGACAATAATGCCTCCTGCGAGGTGAGGATTAAATGAAGAGGTGCATCTAAAGACACAGTGCTGGCACAGAGTGGTCACCCATGAATGTGGGCTGCTGTGATGATGACACCAGCCCGTCCTCTTCTGCATTCAGAGTTTGGGCTCATGTTTTAGTTAGGATTAGTGACGCTCATGTGCAGTTAGTTGCTTGCCATCTAAGGGCTTTTAGATTTAACCAATGCATCCTTGTGGGGTGCAGCATAGTGGCTAAGGACATGGATTCATGTCCTTAAGCTGGGTTCAAACCCAAGCTTTGTGTCTTTCTATCTGTAAGGCCTTGGGCAGGTTAGTTCATCTCTTCTGTGCCTCATCTTCATCATCACTCAAACGGGGCCAGTACCTTCCCAAGAGGATTAAATGAGCATAACAAATGTAGAGTACTTAGATCCTGTGCCTTTACATAGTAACTGCTATGTAGGTGCTTTTTTTAGCTACTATTCTGGCTGCTTAGCCAAATGTGAATGGAATTTAAATAGAAGAGGCAGCAAGGTGGGGTCATGTCCTGAGATATAGAAAACAGACGGCACTAGATCTCTCCAAATACTGCTCTTGGATGAGTTTTCTTATGCCCAAGTAAAGCTGTTGCAGCTCCAGACTCTGAGACACACTCCTCCTCTTGAGGGTGTCATGTCAAAACCAGCATTGGGTTTTTTTCTTTTTTTACCTTAGAAA